TTAAACAAGTTTTTCCAGGTTTTATATTTTTTATGTACACCCGTCAGTACTTGAGGGGCTCTAGCACCGTAGTGCTCTATTCTGTCGCCCAAGAATGCCAAGGTTCCACCAGTTAGTGTTGCATGTGGTCCACTCCCTTACACACAATCCTATTGGCTCAATACTTTGACTAAAGTTGGGTATACACGTTTTTTTTTTCTTCGTTCAGCCAGCAGGTTGAAAATAGAGCCGATTCCTCTAATAATACTTATGAGCACTGATCGAGCAATCTCCGCTGTTTACATCCTGTGCTGACAGCAGCCACTGCTGCTTGCTCTGTTCGGCCGAGAATTTTCCAACATGCTACTTCGATCAGCTGATTGAGGGATGCTGGTCGGAAAGGTGCCGGCACCCACTCTTCAAATTGCGTCCCATTCATCAAGAACCAGCTGAAATTCGAGCGTGTATACCCAGCTTAAGAGTCATTGCTGGCCAGAGAGGAACGCATGGCAGGGACGATGAAGTAGGGCCACTGACTAATACTAAGAGGAAGTGCTGAGTCATGCAGACAGCATTTTGAATCCAAAAAGACTTGTGGCTTTTTTTTTTTGCAAAGAGCATCTCTTATCTTGTAGATAGGGGGTGTAGTCACAAGGGAAAGAGTTTCCAGCCTGCTTATGGTAAAGTACACGGTGCATGTTGGTGTGGTGCTATTGATTCTAAATAGCACCCCAACTCACCTTCTAAAAGCTGAACTTTGAAAATAACACAAAAACTACCTATGCAGGATAAATGCTTATTAAGTCTAGGGGTAGTGGAATAAGGTATAATACTTACTTTATTCTTTGCTTCAGCAGACTTCAGTGCTCAGCTGTTCTCGCCGACACTCTGGTTTATGGGCAGTCCCTCATTGTCCTTACATACAATGCAGAGCTATTGGGTATATGATAAAGTCAGCATGTAACTGCCAGCTAGAGAGTCTTAACGTGGCCATACACTGAGAATTTCAGCTGGTTCTTGCGGAACCGGCCAAAATTCATACAGAGGGTGTCATTGATCCAAGGAGCCAGTCGGAGAATCTTCGGAGAGAACAGCCAATGTGCTGCTGCCTCTGTTCAGGTATAGTGACAGTATCCACCACCCAATGTCGGAATACAAAGATGACAGCGGGGGATTCCTTGATCAATGCTCATAAGTGTTGATGGAGGAATCTGTTCAATTGTTTGGTTCAGCCGGCGAATTTGAACAAAAAAAAAAAAAGACCCTTGGAATGTGGTTTTGGCACGCTTACTGGCATACATATACAAATATTTTTAAAGAAGAAGCATTGGGGACCAGGCTGGCACGCAGCAGGCACTGAGTACAAGTTTAAGCAATGGAGTAAACCGGTCATAAGAGAGATATGGTGGCTGCCAATACTAGCCACCTTTTACAAATTCCAGTTTCCTGTGTCTACCTGAATTCCATCGTGCCGAGTCACAATCCTGGAGCAAGAAAAATCAATGTAACATCCACACAAGGAAGAACTATTATGGTGCTGTACAGAGTATTCATTGATACAGGATCAATATGCAAACCTTCCTTTCGCGTGACGTAAATTGCAGAGGAACAGAATAAGCGGACCTTTCTTTTTCCTACATCAATGACATTTAAAAGGATTGTGGCAAAACTGCACAGGTTGTTTTTGGCTTATGAACCCTATGTACCGGATAGTCTTGACAAGTCACAAGCAATAGAGAGATCCAACCGCTGAAACATGTTTGGGCAAGTCAAGTATTATGAGCCGAGTCTGTATGTTTTCATTTACATTCACACTTTAGCATAGGCGTCTTTGGTAATTTTTCACAGTTCTTTTTTGTTTGTACATACGTGTTTCAGCCGCTCATTCACACTTTTATAATGCTTAGAAATGTGTTTCATGCTTGCAGTCCCAGTCAATGTTAATGGCACCCCAAACACACTAAACAAGTTGTGCTCAAATGGTCAAAATGCTCCACGGCAGATGTACGATGCCTGTATACACCCAACCACAGGTGCTAGCTCCCCGAGCAATCCATCCTCTGCTCAATGTGCAGCCATTGTAGAGAAAAGGGAAGCCGTAGTCCAAGATAAAAGCTGATATTAATCCATCCGGTAAAGGTGGAAATGTTGGGACTAAGGCCTGTTTGTAGGGTTGAAATGCGTCAGCAAGGTTCTGTATGCTGTTTTTATGCCACACCAAGATTATCGTTTGAGTCCGGTTTCCTTAAGCTTGGAGTTCATTCGTCTAAGTTTACTTTCACTGAGCACCACGGTTCCGGTATAGGATTTGGCAGAGGACGTCAAGCAGCTCCCTTCTTTATTTGAAAGGTGGCAAAGTTACCTGAACCTCCGCCTCCTAATGAGTTTCACTTAACAATGAGATTAATCGTACATTTTTTGAAAAGATGCAAAAAAACGCAAGACGCTCCAAAAGATGCCACGTTTGTGGTGAATAGAGCAGCCCATTGAAATGAACGTGCAGAAACATGATGCGGGAATTTACAATTGTGAATGGGAGCTTAGCCCATGGAAAGCTGGTTTCTCAGGCACTCCCACTGAAGTCTATTGGGGTCAAAAACACACGATCATGCCCCAAAGGAGTTCTTGTACTGATGTCGATCAATGCTCATATGTGAAAGGGCACAAAAAAATAACATGGAAATCAGAGTGTTGAGCTTTGAAGCACTCCTGGAAACATGCTTCACATTGCTTAGGTGTGAATGGGGGTTAAGTGAGTGCCGAATAACCCAAAATTAGGACACTGAAGTATAACAACCTTTAAGACAAATGTATCTACCAGATCGACAATATCTATTATCACAGGACACAGGTCTGCAGATGATGATGAGGCATTAGCACTGCATAGACACCACAATAATCATTCAATCGCAGGCATCAGATTGATTAACTATTAAACATTCTTACGTTATGCTGTTAAGATTATTCATTATTATTTAAGGCGGACTAGAATGAATTATGTGCTTCAGCCATCAGATACAAAAGCCGAAATATGCTGAAATCACAATATGCTATTAGATGTGTCTCTTTACTGTCCACAGACCAGATCACTTCCAGCACTCACACAATGTTAACAACTAGAACAATAGGGTATACATTTAGGAAAACCTAAACCAAACATGTCACATAAAACCTAAACAAATAAAGTGAAGAGAACACATTGGCTACAAATGGGGCGCCGTGTTTATGTTTGTGCACATGGTAGACGATGGGAAATCCTTGGAGCCTCACTCACACAGCAACATGTTCCTGGAAGCAGCATGTAGCATGGTTTAGCTACATTGGGGGGCCCTATTCACACAAAGCGCTATTTAAAGTGCATCTGTAGGCAAACCCTTTTTTTTTTTTTTTAATGTTAGATAGAATGGTGACGGATTAGACCTTCTGTCAAGTTTTGTATTGCTGTCTCTGAAAATCGTACTAATGGCAGGGGGAAATTGAAAATTATACAGTTGTCGTCAGAACAAGTGGTAACAGCAAATCTTCCAATGGGGACACCCGTCAAAAGCTGGCCATGCAGTTTAAATTTTGGCTGCTGAATCAGCCAGAATGCAAGTCATGGCTGACTGATACTGCTGGCACCACCCAGCTCGACAAAGTTCGATTACAAAACCGAAAGAGTCAGGTGTTATTCTCGGTCGATCACTGTTTGCAACCAAATCAGATGCAGTCACTGTTCGGGTATTCTGACAGCCGTGGGCACCAGTGCAAGGGAAGACTTCTCCATCCATGCTGTTTAGCAGGGATGAGGGAATGTAGAGATTTCTCCAGTTCAACATGCGGGGCTGAATGAAAGAAATCTAGAAGTGTATGGTAAGCTATAGGGAATTTCCCTCACTTTGGGGGATTTCCTCAAAATTCCAGTTGCATCTGAATGATGGGAAATGATGGAAAAAGTGTCAAATGGGCCACAAACCACACAAAAATAATCTAGTAGCAGTTTGAATCCCTTCCCTACTCTGTGCAAAACAAAACAAAAAGTTTTGGCCATAGATATTTTTTTTTTTCCACTATCAATATTCCTAATGGTTTTGCTTATTTATAAAACCGCTCTGAGCTTTCCTCTACTCCTTTGTTCCATATTTCTGATAAAGGTAAACAGAATCTTCTGCTGATGTTGCCATTTAAAAAAATATATATTTTGTTTCCTACTAATAACATATAATAATAATTATTATTTTTCATCCCCAGCAGTGAAGATGATTAAAGCCTTTTTTTGCTTTCGATTTCGCCTTTCAAAGTGACAAATTGTAAAGTTCTTATTTGCTGTAGACCTGTCAGTAGCTGTGCGGTCACTTGACTGTCACACTGCTCTAACCAGACCCATTTCCTATATAGTAAAACATCACCGTTACTGACATTAGAACAATGGCAGGGGGCTGCATGGAATTGACTGTACATCCAGAAATAACTGCAAAGACAGATCATAAAACAGAGGAGGTGGGGCGGGTGTGATTGAGAGTCTACCGTCCTGGATCCCTGGAGTGATCAAAAGGTGACCCAGATGGCACAAGCCCTCCTGTCCTCTTCTGATAAGATCTGCTCTTCCACATCACAAACTTCCCCACAATCACACAGATAGACACACACAACAACCATGTGCAGCACAACAACACATGATAACAATGTGCTCCCATATGCTACACACTACTCCCTGTCTGATCATAGATCTATATTGAGGAAGGTGCATGGATCATAAATAAATATTAAAATACATCACAAACATATATGTACACACACAAACACACAATCATTGTTTCCTCCAGCAGTGATGCACAATCAAAACATGTCACAGAACTCCAATACTTGTAATCCATGCACTGATCTCCTCCGATCCATGCAAACATCCCCAGCAAACACAAAGAGACTTGTCCTGTGCAGTATGTGATGAATTGTGAAGTTGACCATCATGGTATGAACAACACACAGAGATCATAAGGCTGCTGACTGACATGTGCGCTGAAAGTTGCTAGTAGACATACCTTGCTTGCAGCCAGCGCCCTTCCCCTGTGGATGTTTCCTTAGTCCAGTGTCAGCATGGAGGGTGTTTATGTGTAGCCTGGGATGTGTCCGTTCAGCCTGGACAGCTCTCTCCAGCCCTGTGCGCCTTTCAATAACCTCGAGCAGCTCAGACTAGAGAGGGGTGGAGAGGGAAGTTCCTAGGCCAGCTCCCCACACCAAGCCCCTCCTCTGATCAGCTCAGCTTGCCGAGGTTCCCATCATCTGCCTGCTCTGTCTGTGATGACTGCAACTCATTCAGTCCCCCCTGTAATCTCTACACAATCACACACAGCTTTCATTTCATCACAGGCTGAGCCTGTCTCCTTTACTTTTTAGTCACATTTAATAAAACACAAGTGTGCAGTGCTGGTTCTAGACTGAAAATGCCTTAAAAAGTGCAAACATTTACTTGTGCTTTCCTTCCATTAGCTGATACAGCCAATGCAGTTGTGTGTTTGTCACGAGAAAATGACTGAGGGCCTATTCACACATGCTGAGGTAACACAGGTCACACGGCCCCCAGCAGTGGCATCCAGTGCACTCAAATGCAGCATGTATCGCAGCACACTGCTCCATCACACCCGCATTGTGGCGTGAATCTGAGACATAGGTAACATTTGTTGGGGGTCTGAATAGAGTGTACACATTGTACACTCCACATAAAGTTATAGAAAGAAAACAAAAGTAAACACGCCGCCAGTGCTGCCACAACACACTTAGGGCCTGTTCACAGTAGCCCTTCCGCTAAAACGCTGAAGTAACGGAAGAGCTACAGTGAACAGGCCCTAAGTTCCCGTTCACACTTAGGCGTTTTGTTGCTCAAAGGTAAGCACAACAAAACTCTCAAGACAAGGAATCCCATTAATTTCTATGGCCCCTGTTCACACATAAGCGCTTTGACGCAATCAGAAAAACGATTATGAGCTATTCTTTGGCAGTGTACAGTGCTTTTTGGTCCCACAGACATCAATGAGAAACTTTGTGAGACAAAACGCAGGTGTGAACAGGGGCCACAGACACGGAATGGGATTCCTCAAGACAAGACAAGGAATGCGATTCCTTGTCTTGAGCATTGTGCCGCGCTTAGCTTTGAGCAAGGAAATGCCTAGGTGTCACTGGAGCATAAGGCTAGCCATACACTACGATTTTCGTACAGTGGGTGCTGCTGTGAGCACCCTTTCTGCTGGCATTCCTCGATCAGCTGATCGAAAGAGCCAGATGGAAAATCTTCCATGGAACAGAGCAGCCAGCCAATGAGCTGCTGCTGGATCTGTTTGGGTATTCTGATGGCAGCCGGTGGCCTCCATCAGAATACAATGCAAACAGCAGGAGATTCCTTGATCACAGCTCTTAGGCCACATTCATACTGAGCGACATGAAAATCGTGCGATTTTCCGCCCAATTAATATGTGCGATATTGCACGACTAATCGCGCAACTTTTTTCTATTGGGCTGTATGCAATCAGGTAGGGCTGCAACGACTAATCGACATAATCGATTATAATCGATTATTGAAAAAGTTGTCAACTTTTTCAATAATCGATTAATCTTGAGGGAAGAATATGTTATATTTTCCTCATTCAGCCCGCAGGTTGAATGAAGAAAATATTACAGTGTATGGCCAGCTTTAGACCAGCAGCTGTACATGGCAACCAATCAGCTTCCAGCTTTTATTTATTAACCCCTTCGTGACTGACGACGTACAGTGTACGTCGCCAGCATCGGGGCTGTTTAAATAGACTCCCGGCGACTTTTGCCCCCGGGACTCTGTTTAAACTTGTAGAGCCGACTGTCGGCTTTACAACAGAAGCGATCCTGGCGACTTACCTGTCGCCAGATCGCTTCTGCGTCCCGAAGAAGGGGCCGCCCCCCCCCTTAATAAGGAGTTGCGCTAATATTGCGCAACATAAAAATTTTCAACTACCACCATTTTATTCTATAGGGTCTTGGCATTCAGAAAATATATAATGTTGGGGGGTTTTACGTCATTTTCAGGCCTAAAATGTGGAATATAACATGGGTGCAAAAATGGAAAAAAGGGCCTCAGTCATGAAGGGGTTAAGTTTAATTGAACAAGCTGACGTTTAGGGCTCATTCACACTATAGCTGTGACCTGTAGCATAAGAAAAATGCAGGTCGCCGCTAGGACACATAATAAACAATTGTTTTCTATGTGCCCTGGTCACACCACAACACAAGTGTGATGGGCAGTGTGCATTTTTTCACAGCACACAGGATGCCCCTGAAAGTCATCACCCGGCAGATGAGCGCACTACATGGAATGTACGCATTGTACACTACCATTAAAGTTTTTAAAAAATGTAAACAGTGACAGCTCCGCCATTGTGCAATACACCACATACTGCAGGAGCTGCTACCACGCACTAGCCCACTCGCTAAAACTAAGTGTTTCAATGCGAACGGGCCCAGAATCTGATGCTCCAGTTTTACATACATACATCCAGGTATTTGTTTATCAGACTTTAAGAGGAGGGTTAATAAATCATCCACCCCGACATACACTGGCAGAATGCCAGTAGCACAGCATTCTTACCACTAGATGGAGCCAAAGAGCATAGGAATTCCTATGCTTCTCAGCTCCATCTACTGACAAGAATGTCATGCAAGCAGCATTTAGCCAACATATGTCAGGGCAGATGATTTATAACACCCTTGATGTTGTCTGTCTTATGCATAGAAGAGATTTATCTTGTCTTTTTGTTCTGAAACCTGTCAGCTAGACAGGAAGTGAGGGGAATCTCCTGCATGGAGACCACAAAAAATCCTGAGAGAGGATCTAATCTTCCTCACCCTAAAGCTGGCCATACACTAATAGATTTCTTTGGTTTCTGCCTGTGGGCTGAACCAAAGAAATCTAAGGCCTAGCTCACATGGACTTCCGGTTGCATAAGAGCAGTGTGAATACAACATTTTTGGTAAGCTTCAAGAAGCTTTCTTAAAGTACCCTTCAGCTCCAGTTTGGGAATGTCAGTTGACAAAAACCTTGTCCTTCCAGTGGGGCTGCCCCCACACTGCAAGGATTACCTGCTGGTTCTTGTGTAGGCTACCTTTGTAAACGAGGTTTACTTACCTGATACCTGCTCCTGCTGGCTTCAAGGCCGGTACGCGCAGACTCAGAGGTCAGAGACCCGCTGACCTCCTCACATCTAATGCAGAGCCCATTGATCTGCATTATACGTGAGGATGCCAAGAGACAGTCCTCGTGCCACAGAGAAAAGAGAGGTGAGCACTGACTGACAGAGGAGCGGGGATCAGGTAAGTAACACAAAACCCCTAGACATAAATGAGAAATTCACCTTTCAGTGCAGGGGGTAGCTTTTCACTCACCTCATAGTTCTAGCCGACCTGTGACAATGAGACTGTCACAGGTCGGCTCAGTAGATCGGGAGGTGAGCGAACACATACCGGCGTTCGCTCACCTCTTGATCCTGTCACGGCTCTCTGCCATGACAGGGGAGGGGCTGGATTCCCCTGGAGGACGCTAGTTTGTGTCCTCCCGTTACCCTAAGGAGAACTATGGGGGAAAGCCTTAACCCCATAGTTCTCCTTTAAATGCAGACAAAGATTCTAACGCTGGCCTTGTTCATTTTCAGGACGTTCATTCAATTTTCCTATTCGAATCTAATTAACTTTCAGTGATGATGAAAATCGAAGGAGCAGGATGGAACATTTTTCAAGTTTCTTACCTGAATGAACTAACTTCTAACAGTAACTGTGAGCTTTGTTTGGGAAAATTGTATATATTGTAAAGTGCATGTGCTAGACACAAACTAAACCTGTTCAATAGGTCTGGAATTCCATTCAAGTAGTTGGCTTGGATTACATTTTGAAGAGCTGTGAAAGAAAATGAGATGACTCAAAGATATGCTGGATTCCACTGTTCTGCGTCCATGCAGCATATGTGGTAATGCACAAGTATAGGTGTGAATGAGCCCATATCATGTAGCTTTCCCTTTCACACTAAACTGCATTGCATAAATGTGAACCAGTCTCATAGCAAATAATAAGACTTCTACTTGCAATGTCACAATACTGCAGCAAAATGCATGAGGTTTGCTGCATGACAACAGACCCTAAAACGTTAATTAGAGAAAATGTGTTTTTATTACTGCCTGGATTCAGTTGGGGGATTTTCCTTCGCTTCTTGTTTGTTCCTTCGTTTTCAGGCCATACAGTGTATGAATTTTGGCCATTTCATGACAAACCGGCTGAAATTCATTCGGTGGGTGCCCCTGTTGGCACCATTTTGTCCAGTATCCTTCAAATCTAAAAATCGATGGACCCGGAATGAAAATGTTTGGGTTAAAAGTTATGGCAGCCAATCGGGTATTCTAACAGCAGCACACTGGCCACTGTCAGGATACAGCAAGCGATGCATCCATCCATGCTGTTACGCATGAATGGAGGAATCTGTTTTAATTCATTCAGTCCGCAAGTCGAACGGAAAAAATACAGTGTATGACCAGCTTTACACCCTCAATTTGACAGAATGTGAGATTTTCCCTCACTTCCTGTCCCGGCAATCATCAAAAAGACAGGAAGTAAGACAAAATCTCCCAAATAGGGCCACAGTAATAAAACATTGGCTGAGATTTTACACCCTCCACACAAAAAGGTTTTGGCTAGCGTTGAGCTTTAAAGCTGAAGTTTAGTTTTTTTGGGGGGTATACAGCACCAGGGACATAACTTACCTCTAAGAGGAGTGGCCTATGTCCTGATGGCTGCAATTTAGTGTGTGAGGGCCTGTTCACACCAAGACCATGCATTAATCAGTACCACCCGTTGCAGTGCGGTCAAGTGCATTGCAGCCGACAGGCGCGTTTGGGGCACCATTCAAATGAATGGTAACGCAATGCACCTGCCACTGTAATGCACGGCATGTGCATTGCACTGTATCGTGCGTTAATCAGTCACAGTATGTATAAAGTTACATGAGTGATATTTAGTAACCCAATTAAACTAATACAATCTCATGACATGATGTCATGTTTGTATGACATTACTTATATGTGAGCTGCTACATAAGAGACTTTGAGTATTATGGCCGATTGATCAATCTCCCCCAGTCGCACAATGCTGAAATGTTATTTAGTAGCAGTAACTATTGGTGA